GGCGAGGGGGCTGGTGGGGTGGCATCAGAGCTGAGGGTGAGACCCGGAGGGTCGGGCTCCGTAGGCGGCGATACCAGCAGCGGCGGCGCCGCTCAGCAGCAGCAGCACCACCACCACCACCACCAGCCGGGGCAGGAGGGGCAGGCAGTCGCCCCAGAGCAGCAGGCGCGGGGGCAAAACCGCCTGGCGAGCGCGCCGCCGCTGTGGCCGCAGCCCGGAGCCGGCCAGGCGGCCGCTGCGGCGCCGGCGGCTGCCGTCGCAGGCGGCGGTGGCTGGGCTGCAAGTGCCCAGCAGCAGCAGCAGCAGCAGCAGCAGCAGCAGCAGCAGCAGCAGCAGCAGCAGCAGCAGCAGCAGCAGCAGCAGCAGGCAGGTGAGGTTGATGATGAATCCCTGCTGGAGCTCTATGAGTCGGCGCTTGGCGCCCGGAAGCCTGGGGGCAGCAGCGGCGGCAGTGGCAGGGGTATTGGTGGGACGGGCAGCGGCGGCGGCGGCGGCTGAGGGTTGGCCACGCAGCCGTGGAGGCCCCTTGATTGGAGGACTGTGCTGCGCTCAATTCCCACAAGTTGCTCCATGATACGACGGCCCTTTTTTGCTTGCATGCATGTTGTATTGGTTGTGACATCCCGTTGCTTTGGTTGCGCGAGGGATAGATTCATTATGCTGGCATGTCAATTCACTTCATTGGTGTCTCGGCTGTATGTGCTCGGCATGTAACGCAACCAAGGACTATATATCTTTGGGCGCGGCTCCCTCCAGGTCAGAGAGGGGCACACTGGTTCAAGGGAACAAGCGGGCGTGGGCCAGGTCACCCTGGATCACTCACCCTCTCAGGGCACTAACTACCACCCAACCCATTCAGACTCCTGCTGCCCAGGAAAGGTATGCATAACGCTCCGATACGTCTCCAAGGCACCGGCACTCGAGGTATCCCTTTATTTTGACGCGTCTAGAATCATTCAGCACCAATGTAGGCCCTTTGATAGGGTTGTCTCAGTGACCTGGCAGGCTGGTTGCGGTTGAGCAGCACGAGGTGCGCTGACCTGGGGACCTGATGCAGCACACATACTGTATCACACACAATGCACCATACCAGCTGTTGCATCACCTCCTGGGTGTCGTTGGCTGCTGTTGCTGAGGTTGATTGGTTGGCAGGCCTCCACCCTCAACAGGTGATATGAGCGCATGACATGCTCAGGACTCCGCTGTTGTCGCTGCAACTAACCCTCCCAGCTGACCAGTGCCGGCGCAACACAAATGATCACACAAGCTGTCGCATAGTCGAAGGCTTTAGAGAACGCGCATTCAAAAGCTGCGAGAGTCATCAAATTGAGCAGGGGGCGGGCTGCACAAAGCCTGAGGAGACAGGGGGCATGCGTGTGAGGGGCTGGCTGCTACTACGATCTGTCAAGAACACGGCCGGCGGGGGCGCACGCGGGGGCCACTGCAACGCGGCACAGCCCGGGTCTGAAAACGGGGCTGAGACAGGCGCGAGTGCGCTGCGACCGCACGGCCCAAAAAGCCACAAAGAATGTGCACGGTTCAGACCGAGCAGCGCACAGGGGAAGGGTGCAGCGGCGCAGTGGAATGCGCAATGTGCGAATCAAAACAAGCTCAGAGGCAAACAAAGCAAAGCGAGCAAGGGGCTCTGAGTATCAGAGACCCCATGGTCAAAGTTGATGGCGTACCAGCCATGGGCTGGCGTCCGCGAGCCGCATCAGCAAGGCAGCATGCAACGTGCCCGTGGTCGCACACTGAGCACGTGCCTCCAGCCGCAGCAGGCAGGCCGAATGCCGCATCAGCAGGAGGATGGACGGAGCTGAAGCAAGCGACACAAAGGGGGGACACGATGCAAAGGGGAAGTGGGGCGGGCTACGGGTGGGGCCAGCCAGGATGAGGGGGCAGCCCATCACATTTCCACAGGCGACTGCTGCAGCGCGAGGGTGGAGAGCATCTGCTGCAGCGCGTCGCCGCCCGCCACGCCGCCCCCGACGGCCTGCTGCCCCGCCGCGCCCCCGGCCTGCAGGGCGGCGGCAAGGTCGGCGGGTATGCCCGCGGCCGCAGCCGCGCTCGCCACGTCTTGCGCCTGCTGCTGCTGCTGCTGCTGCTGCTGCTGCTGCTGCTGCTGCTGTTGCTGCTGCAGCAATGGGGGCTGGGCCGGCGGCGGCGGCGGCAGCTGCTCGGCGGCCCCCGCCGTCGCCGCGGTCAGATGCGAGACCATGCCCTCCAGGCCGCCTGGCGCCGGCGCCGGCGACGCCGTGCCGAGCGGCGGCCCTGCGCTCGCAGGGGCCTGCAGCATGGCGGCCAGCGCGCGGTCAAAGGCCGTCGGCTGGGCAGCAGGAGCGGTCAGGGGCGGCTCCTGCGACGGCTGCGGCGCCGCCGCCGCTGCGGGTGCCGCCGCCGCTGCGGCGGCAGCCAGCAGAGCGTGGGCGGCAGCGTCTGAAGATGTAGGGGTGCCGCCGCCGCCAGCGGCACCGGCCTGCATCGCAGCCGGCGGAGGTGGTTGGGCAGTGGCCGGGGCCGCGGCTGCTGCTGCTGCGGCCGCGGCCACGGCGTCGATTCGCGCGCCGCCGCCTTCCAACACCGCTGCGGCGAGCTGCAGCTGCTGCAGCGACATTGACTGCTGCAGCTGCTGCAGCGAAGCGGGCTGCGGCAGCTGCTGCAGCGAGGACGGCTGCTGCAGCTGCTGCAGTGACACCGACTGCGACAACTGCTGCTGCGGCGATGCGTGCGTGAGGGGCCCCAGGGCGCCGCCCCCAGCGCCCTGCATGATTGCAAGGGCCGCCGCTGCCGCCGCCGCCGCCGCGCCGGCGGGGTCTGCGGCTGCCACCTGGGGCGGCAGCTGCGGATGGGGAGGCAGCTGCGGCTGCAGCTGTGGCTGCAGCTGCGGCTGCGGCTGCGGCAGCTGGTGGTGTTGCTGCTGCGGGGCCTGGAGCTGTTGCAGCAGCTGCACAAGCTGCGCGGCAGGACAAATGGCAGCAGAGCAGTCATGCGGCCACGAGGACAAACCCTCAAGCATGCGTAGGTCAGGCCGCCAGGCAGGGAGCACATGAGCAAATGCGGCATGCAAGCAGAAGCATGGCAGCAACCGGCAGCACAGCAGGCAGCACTGCATCTGGCCAAAGCACACGCAGCAGCACCCCCACCTGGTCTGCGACGTTGCCTGGCGCCGCAGCCATGGCCGGCGCCACCTCCGCCACCGCAGCCAAAGGCATCAGCTGCGTGGGCGCGGCCGCTGCCTGCCCTAAAACCATCGCCGCGAGCTGCTGCAGCAGCGCCTGCTGCCCCGCGGCAGGCGTGGCCGCCGCTGCGGGGGTCGGGGCGGCGGCCACGGGCGGGGGGACGGCTGCAGCGGGCGCGGGGGCGCAAGCCGCGCCTGCTGTGGCACGCTCCTGCAGCATCCCCGCGACCTGAAGCATCAGCGCGTTCTGCTGCGGCGCACCGCCGCCTGCAGCGCCGCCGCCCTGCTGCCCCTGCACCACCTGCAGCAAGAGGCGCACC